AAATCAGAGAATGAGAAGATGCATCGTGATTTCAACGGAAAAATGTCAAGATGGCCGAATGTAGAAGTAATGCAGGGCACAAACAAGGAACGCAATAAGTAGCATTGAGATTACAAACAAGCCTCGTTCCCACAGCAACTCCTTTTGAAGCAGCCTGCCTTGTTGAGACATAAGCATGGAAATGAGTTCATAGTCTTTATTATATAGTTAAGCTTTCCTAGGCAACGCTTGCCGCTACAAGCACAATCAAAAGCTCTGCTTGTAATAATGTAATAATACCTCTATCAATGTTGCTCTCTTTCGAAAATTAGTTACAGCGCCAATTGGCATTCAATAAATAAAATAGGAAAGGAACTAAGCCAACACTTTAGCTCTCACTATGGCTTAGCTGCCACAGCTACTAAGTGGTTGTTAATATAATTGTGGTTTCAAATCACAACTTTTTTGAACAAAGTAGTTCTTTGTAAAATAATTGACGCAATTTTATATGATGTCAGCATATGTCCCTATTCTCTTAGTTCTGTAGGAAAAATGCTGCTGCGTTTTGATTTTAAAGATGTAACGATCATAAAATAACCGTTTAGTTTAAAGTGTGGCTAAAGTCAAAATGAGAGTAGGATTGACACAGGTCTTTGCAATGAGCGGAACTTTAACAAAATTAAAAGCCAAGGAACCTTGGTGAAGACTGAGTGAAAAAAATAAAAATAAGAATAAAATAAAGTTCTCGGCGCTGTCCGCCATGCATCCACTCCGTTTGACATGGGATATACATCAGAATGCGTGTTGAGCCGCTATAATGATTTACAGAGGCTCGGTGTTCAGTCGCTGCCTCTATTGTCCTATAGAGCCCTCACCTTGTGTTATGAAGGGATGCCGGAATGTTCAAATCTCTAATTCATTTCCAGACTTCTTACTTGTATCGTCTCATAGTATCCAACTAGAGCTTTTGAAAAGGCACTTTTAACTTGCCTTAGAAAAACATTAATAAAAAATCGCTTACAACATTTTATGAATTCTAAACGACACAAATGGCTAACTACTGAAGTGCTTAAAACGGCTGAAAGACGAA